TCTACAGATAATATATCCTATATACAGAAGACCATAAAATTCCCATAAGAAAACTTCTAGAACTAATAGAAAAAGTTAGCAATTTTTTGTAGGAAACAAGATAAACACACAAAAATCAGATGAGTTACCCTACACAAAAATGACTACTCCAGAAAAAAAATCAAGAAAATACCATTTACAATCACCCCAAAATTTGTATCATACCTAGGAATTAACCTAACCAGGAACATGAAAGACGTATCGCAGTGCCGTGAATTGCTTAATATGGCCCTTCTAGCCATGGTCTTCCATTTTGTGATGTATTGTAAATCCTAGTCTCTATGCCTGTTTAGGGTGTGACATATCTTGAGTCCCACCTTGCTGGAGGGTGTGACTCAAGTCACTACCTTTAGTTTCCTCGAGCATATTCTGGGAAAGTTCTGGGAAAGTTCACTTGCTCTGGTCCTGCGCTTGGTTCATCATCATCTCACCCCTGGACCTGAGACAGTAGCCAGTCTTCTGACCCACTGATTTGGGTTTGCCAGGCCCTGCAACCTGTGAGTGAGGAGAATTCTCTAGACCTACCCAGGGAGTTGGGACTTGCCAGCCTCCCAGCCTCCACCACCATGTGAGCCATTTCCTGGGTGGTTTGTAAATTCTGTGAGACATTATAGTGAAAATTGGAACCCTAAGACAGGAGGGAGAGTACTGAAGAGAGCAGGAGGACTTGATATTAGGGAATATGGAGTGATACAGCAGTTTGGGAAAAGTTAGACATTTGGGACATCTTTAACCTCTGCCTCATAGGAACCAGCCTTGTGCTGATCCTTCTAAAAGAAATTATTTGAGCACTTATATGCTGAAAATTATAAAAACAAAACAATAAAAACTACTACTAGACACTAAAAGAGGCACACAAAAATGGAAAAACATCCCATGCTCATGAACTGGAAGACTAAATATAATGAAAATGTCAATTCTACTTAAAGAGGTCACAGATTCAATGAAATCCCAATCCCAATTCCAATATTTTTTGGAAAAACTAATGACCAACTTCATATGGAAAAGAAAACCCTGAATAGTCAAAGCAATACTGATGAAAAAGAACAATGTAGGAGGGCTCATACTCTTTAACATCAAATATACTATATAGCCACTGTAATCAAAGCAGTTTGGTATTGGTTCAACAATACACACATAGACCAATGGAACAGAATTAAGATCTAAGAATTGGGCAACATATTTCCATAGTGATAATGCCCCAGAAATCCAGGGAGGGATCACTATGAGTTGGATCTGACTCGGTGGCAGTAAATTTGGTTTGGTTTGGTATCTATGGACAACTGATTTTCAATCAAAATCCATTCATTCTCTTTAATAAATGGTGCTGGCAAAACTGGATATACACCTGCAGAAAATGAAACAGGACCCAGACCTGACTCCATCACAAAAACTAACTCAAAATGGATCAAAGACCTACCATAAATGCTAAACCTAAATCATATAACTCCTGGAAGACAACACAGAAAGAAAACCATGGGACCTAATCTTTTGTAAAAATGGGACAACAAACAATACAACAAATGCACAAATAGAAGAGAAAATAGATACATGGGACCTCATAAAAATTAAAAACTTATGTTCATCAAAAGACTGTATTAGATAAGTAAGCAACCAACTACAGATGGAGAAAATAATCTTTGGAAATGATTTATCCTACAAGGGTCTAATTTCTAAAATCTATAGGAAACTGCAACAACTCAACAACTCAACAACAAAAAGATAAACAACTCAATCACAAAATGGACAAAGGACTTAGACAAACCTTTGCCAAAGAGAATATCCAAACAGCCAACAAACATATGAAAAGATACTCATAATCATTCACCATCAGAGATGCAAATCTACAATGAGATAGCATCTTACCCTAGCTGAAACGGCATTGATCAAAACAACAAAACAAACAAACCCACAAAAAACAGCTAACAACAAATGTTGACAAGGATGTAGGGAGATTGTAACCATTAACCTTTGCTGGTGGGCCTGTAAAATGGTACAACCACTATGGAAAATGATATGGCACATTCTCAAAAAAACTAGAAACAGAACTACCCCATGATCCAACAGTTCTACTTCTAGATATATACCAGAAACCAAAACATCCCCCACCATCAAGTCGATTCCTCGTCTCAGCAACCCTATAAGATAGAGTAGAACTGCCCCATAGGGTTTCCAATACTATAAATCTTTCCAGAATCAGACTACCTTATCTTTCTACCATGGATCAGCTGTTGAGTTTGAATTGCTCACCTTTGGGTTAGCAGCCAAATGCTTTAACTGCGGCACCACCAGAGCTCCAGAAGTATGTATACCAAAAAAACCCAAATCCACTGCCATTGAGTTGACTCTAACTCATAGCAATCCTCCAGGACAGAGTAGAATAGCCACATAGGGTTAACAAGACTGTAAATCTTTACTAAAGCAGGCTGCATTATCTTTCTCCCACAGAGCAGCTGGTGGGTTCCAACCACTGACCTTCTGATTAGCAGCTGAATGCCTTAACCACTGTGTCATGAGAGCTCCTAGAAGTATTTATAAACCAAGAGAAAAAACTCACTGCCATTGAGTTGATTCTGACTCATAGTGACCCCCACTGGGTTTCCAGGTCTGTAAATCTTTATGGAAGTAGACTGCCTCATCTTCCCCCTATGGAGCACTTGGTGGGTTTGAACTGCCAACCCCCTGGTTAGCAGCCAAATGTCTTACATAGTATGCTACTAGAACTCTTTAGAAGTACATATAAAAACTCACTGCCTTCAAGTCGATTCTGACTCACAGCAACCTCCTTTGGGTTTCCGAGGTGGTAAATCTTTATGGAAGTCGATTGCTCTATCTGCCTTCTATGGAGTGGCTGGTGGATTTCAACTACCAATCTCCTGGTTAGCAGTCAAATGTCTTAGGCACTACACCACCAGAGCTCCAGAGAAGTTTGTATCTAAAAACTCACTGCGGATGAGTCGGATCCAACTCACAGAGACCCCTCCTTAGGTTTCTGAGGAGGTGGTATCTCTACGGAAGTAGATTGCCCAATCTTCCTTCCGAGGAGTGGTTGGTGGGTTTGAAACTCCAGCCTTCTGGTTAGCAATGTAAATACAAATATGTAGGTGCAGGCACATTTATTTATTGAAGACACAAATACAGATACCCCACAGACATAACTAAACATCTTCCAACACTGATTTTCTGGGTTTGAAGACTAAGGAGCACAGTCTTATGAAACAATTCAATCAAATGGCATAACATAGTTCATACAAATCATCAGCAGAATCCTACTGGAGTAGCATCTGGGGTCTTAGAAGCTTGCAAGTGTCCATCTAAGAAACAACTACAAGTCTCTACTTGCCAAGAGCAAAACAGTAGGAAAGTAACCAAAAGTGCAGAGGATAAGCAAGTTTACAGAGTCACAGGAGCTCTGGTAGCATAGTGTCTGTCTTAGGCACTTCACTGCTAACCAGAAGGCTGGCGGTTCAAACCCACCAGCCACTCCTCGGAAAGAAGGTTGGGCAATCTACTTCCGTAGTGTTACTGCCTCGGAAACCCAAGGAGGGGTTGCTATGAGTTGGGTCCGACTCGATGGCACACAACAACAACAACACAGAGCCACAACCTCATCTAATCTGAGACCAGAAGAACTAGATGGTGCCTGGCTACCACCACAGACCATTCTGACCTACTTAAAAGTCTTCAGTATGAGACCAAAAGTTCAACAATTACTCAAAAGCAAAAATGAGAAAATAAGGGGCAGGAAGAGTACTGGAAAGGGAACAAACTGAACACAAAGAGAATTTTGGTACATTGTGATAAAAGTAACTAATGTTACTGAACAATTTGTGTGGAAATTGTCAAATGGGAACCAAATTTGCTATATGAACTGTCACTAAAAACTGAATATAATGTAATATATATATATATATATATATATACACACA